GGGGGCACCTCGGGCGGGGGGGGGGGTAAGGGGGACGTGCGTCTCCTGGGTAATGGTGATAGCAACAGCACGCGTAGACGTGGGCGGACCGGCGAAGGGCCGTCATGCGGGGGGGGGCAGAGATGCGCACACCAGCACGCGGCTGCGGCGGCGGCGGCGGCTGCGGCGGCGGCTGCGGCGGCAGCGGCGGCGGAGGTTAGCGCTGGGAACGCGGCGGCGCAGGGCGCGAGCGCAAACCCGAGGGGTTTGCCTCCGGCGCTCTGCCTACGGGAGGCGTACCTGACGGACAGGGCTCGCTTGGACCAGGTGAGTCAAGTTCTGACGGTTCGGAGGAATTTATTGTGCCTTCTCTTTGTATGATGTGTGCACTGTGAGAGGGGAGAGAGAGAAGAGAGAGGGAGAGAGATGTGGGGGGGGGGGTGGGGGGTACTCAGAGGCGTTTTGCATGCCTCAGCGGTTAGATCGTTGACCACGCGTCCTCGAGAAGACGGAGCGCTGTTCCCACAGGACCGAGTGCCAATCGTTCCTCCCCAGTTTGCCAAAGATGGCTCAAAAATGTTTCCCCTATTCTTTATTTTCTGTCGACCATCACTTCCCGCCTTTTCAACCCACTCCCTATGTCCCAGTACAGCCACGCCATCTTCTCCTGGCTACTCCATGCCTCAAACATCTCCCTGTATCTTCCTTCTACTTTTCCCAGCTCAGTCATGTACATTTATCTTTCCTTTTTGTACATCGGGCTTTCCGCAACTGTATGACTTTGAGGGGTGGAGATTTAGAAATCGATGTACTCATCCGTAAACAGAGGGTCGGAGGTTGAAGAAAAATAATTGCCGTTCGTAGATGACAGTAGTAGACCTACTCTATGACACAGCGATCCTCCGCTCTTGCATGTGTTGGACAGCGCTGTCTTGGCCAACAAGGGTCGCCCAATCAGGATAATGTATTCTTCTGAGTTGATCATGCTGTGTTCTGACCAAGCAGTCGGCGTTCTGCGACGGCCTTTGGGCCAAACAAGACGATTCCAAGCGGCAGGGAAGGCGAACAGCAAGTAGAGCAGTTGTTACATGGCCATTCTTCTCTCGTAACGACAGGGAAGCAAACAGCAAGTAGAGCAGTTAATGCACGGCCGTTCATCTCTTGTAGCGAGGCCCATCGGCAAGCCGGCAGAATGATCGCACAATTTTGGGATTTCAGCACCAAGGAAAACCAGAGGCGGCAAGAAGCCGCAGCAACTAAGTTTTAGTTGCTGTGACTTGTTGCTTCTCCTGCGTTTTGCTGGCTCTCCCATCCCAACACCGCGCGTTCATTCTCGGCCGGCTTGCCAATGGACACTTTTACGAGAGAAGAAGGGGAGTGGCAGCGAGTCGCCGGAAGAGTTGATTGACGGGAGTAGGTTG